AGTGGTAGTAGTAGTGATAGTAGTGGTAGTAGTAGTGGTAGTAGTAGTAATAATAGAAGTAGTAGTAGTAGTAGTTGTAGCCGTAGTAGGAGTAGTAGCCGTAGTAGTAGTAGTAGTAGTAGTAGTAGAAGTAGTAGTAGTAGTATTAGTAGTAGTAGTAGTAGTAGTAGGACTAGTAGTAGTAGTAGTAGAGACGGTAGTCGTAGTAGTACCAGTAGTAGTAGTAGTAGTAGTAGTAGTAGTAGTAGTAGTAGTAGTAGTAGTAGTAGTAGTAGTAGTAGTAGTAGTAGTCGTAGTAGTAGTAGTAGTAGTAGTAGTAGTAGTAGTAGTAGTAGTAGTAGTCAGAGTCGTAGTAGTAGTAGTAGTAGTAGTAGTAGTAGCAGTAGTCGCAGTAGTAGTAGTAGTAGTAGTAGTAGTAGTAGTATTAGTATTAGTAGTAGTAGTAGACGGGGTAAATAGTCGTAGTCGTAGTAGTAGTAGTTGTCGGAAGAGCAGGAGTAGGTGTACGGGACGGAGTGGTATTTATAGTTATACTAGCCGTAGTAGTAGTAATACGAATCATGGTGCTAGTGGTAGTAGTAATAGTAGGCGTCGTCGCCGTAGTATTGGTAGCAGTAGTAGTCGTAGCGGTAGTAGTATTACTGGTAGTAGTAGCAGTAGCAGTTTAAGTAGTAGTAGTAGTAGTAGTAGTAGTCGTCGTGGTAGTAAGTGTGTCAGCATCCGTTTTGTTAGTTGTAGTATTATCATTCGTAGCAGGTGTAGTCGTAGTAGTAGTAGTAGTAGTAGTAGTAGTAGTAGTAGTTGTTACTAGTAGTAGTAGTAGTAGTAGTAGTAGTAGTAGTAGTCGTAGTATTAGTCGTAGTGTAGTGTAGTAGTAGTAGTAGTACTAGTAGTAGTAGTAGTAGTAGTAGTAGTAGTAGTAGTAGTAGCAGTAGTAGTAGTGGTAGAAGAAGTCGTGGTAGTACGAGTAATACTTTTTGTAGTAGTAGTCGTTGTAGTAGTAGTAGTAGTAGCAGTAGTACTAGTAGTAGTAGTAGTAGTAGTAGTAGTAGTAATAGTAGTAGTAGTAGTAATAGTAGTAGTAGTAGTAGTAGTCGTAGCAGTAGTAGTAGTAGTAGTAGTAGTAGTAGTAGTAGTAGTAGTACTAAAGATCGTCGCAGCAGAAGTAACAGGAGCCGTCTTCGAATTCGTAGTAGAAGTAAATGTAGCCGTAGTCGCTGTTGTGGTCGAATTAGTCGCAGAAGTAGTAGTAGTAGTAGTAGTAGTAGTAGTAGTAGTAGTAGTAGTAGAAGTAGTAGTAGTAGTAGTAGTAGTAATATTGGTAGTAATAGTAATAGTAATAGTAGTAGTAGTAGTAGTAGTAGTAGTAGTAGTACTAGTAGTAGTAGTAGTAGTAGTAGTAGTAGTAGTAGTAGTAGCAGTAGTAGCCGTAGTAGCTGTAGCAGCTGTAGCCGTAGTAGTAGTACTAGTAGTTTCAGTAGTAGCAGTAATAGTGGTAGTAGTCGTAGTAGTCGTCGTAACAATGGTAGTACCAGTCGTAGTATTAGTCGTCGCCGTCGCCGTCCTCGTCAGCGACGGTCGTCATCGTCGTAATAGCAGGTATCTGTCACCCTTGTGTGTGTGTGGCACCTAACCACTTCTCGCAGTAATGGGATGGGCGCCGTGTGCGCGCGGCACCCAACTCGCAGCACCCACCTTTTCTCCTTTTCCTCCTTCCCCCCACGCCTCCTCGTCTTCTTGATTGAGGGTTTCGTTGCGACTTTCGCACGTCGGTGCCGTCGGGAAGAAGGAGGGGGAGGGTCTTCGGAGAGGTTGGGCAAGGCCCCGCCCCCGCTCATGCCCCCGTCCGAGCCGTGCCGCGGCGGCGGGAGGCGCCCGGGCAGCCGGAGCAGCTGCCCGTGCTGTCGGAGACCTTCAGGGCGCCGCCGCCTTTCGCCCTGGCCTCACTCGGATCACATCGGGGATTATTGAGGGGACATGGGGGATACAAGTGCAAGATAAGGTGGGTGGTGTGTATATTTACATTTATGTACATATGTCGGTATCCATGTGCAAAACGGATGTGTATCTCACACATACACATACAGCAAACATATATCTATATATGTACCGGCATCGGTTGTTACCTGTCCACGCGTATGTACGTTTGTCTGCCCTCTCTGTCTGCTTGTCTGTCTGCATGTCTGCATGTATATGTAAAAACTATGTTTGTATGCACGTATGTATGTATGCTGCTTGCCTGTATCTATGCAAATATGCATGCGTGAATGCATGTATGTATGTATGTTTGTATCCATGCATGCATGAACGTATATGTGGTTGCATGCCTGCCTGCATGTATGTATGTATGTTTGTGTGTGGGCATGCATGTGAGTGTAGTTGGATATGGGTATGTTTATGTAGAGGTGTTTGTAATTCGCACGTGTGTACGTAGATGTGTAAATATGCATGTGTATAGCCACGTACACGATGTCTTAAGTGTACGCGCGTTCACATACATAGCTAGATAGATGTGTGCATGTGTATGTATGTATGTGTATATATAGAGAGATAGAAGAAACAAAAGGCTTGGCTGCGAGGGTGGGCCGGACCGCGGCCTTGGGTACGCATGGGGGACCCCCGGCGGCACATGTGGGCCAAGGCAGGTCTGGAACAGCTGAAAGCCCCCCCAAACTGGCCCAAGCCCGTCCAGCCTTGCGTCTGGGGCGCAGTGTCGCCACCCGAGTCACCCCCAGAGGGTCTGAAGACGCGCCAAGTGGCCCCCATGAGGCCCGCATGAGGCCCCCAAGTGGATTTCAGGAGCGCCCACAGGGGCCCCCGGAGGCAAAAATCACCCCATTCCCTTTGGAAAGCGCATCTTGCCGGCAGATTTGCTTGTCCAGTCTTGACAGCCTCTAAGACGGCTCAAGGGGCGCTCTTGGAGGCTCCAAGACCGCTTACGAAGCCCCAAACACAGCCCAAGAGGGCCCCAAGACGGTCCAAGGGAGCTCCAGGAGGGCTTCAAGAGGGTGCTAAAACGCGCCGTGGGGCACTAGTTTGGGGGGTGCGGCTCCCACCATGCCCCCAACACCTTGCGGGAAGCATCCAGGACGCTTCCAAAAGCCCCCCAGAGGCTCCCGAGAGACCCCGAAAATACCCCCCCAGATTACCCCAAATCCCCCCAAGAGGTCCCACGAGGCCCCCAAGTTCTTCCAGGGGGCTTGCAGGAGGTCTTCCAAAATGTCCCTAGAAGCGAATGAGACGTCTCGTGTCTACATCCTGCACGGCGTTCCCGGAGAGGCTTCTAGAGGCCCCCAATACACGATCCTCTCAGGGCTTCAAGAGGCCCCTGACAAACACGCCGCGAGGCCCCGAGAGGCACAAAACACGCCCCGACCTCACGATCCAGGTCAGGAGTATGCCGACATGGGCGTGGCGGCGGGATGCGAACCTTGGTTTGGGGGCTGTCGGTGGAGATCCCTGTGGGGTACGATCCGTGTGAGGAGACAGTCGACACACTCAGGGGTGCGTGACGTTCTGCGACTCCTCCGTCTAGGTCCGCACGTTCAACTACATCCCTCAGAGGCACGATCCGTGTGAAGGGTGTGCCGAGTCGGGGAGAGGCACGCCATGCAAGCGCTGTCCCTGGGTCCTACGGTGGAGCTCGCGGGGGGGTCACGATCCGTGTGAGGACCGTGCCAGCATTTGTGAGGGGACGTTTTGTAAACCTTGCCTGCCTCTGGGGCCGTATGTCGCTGCCCAATCCGCGTGATTGGTGCCCTCTTCTATTGCAAGTTTGAACCACTGGTTGGATCATTACTTCAGTGGAGTTGTGACCGAATCGCACCACCCAGTGAATGTTAGCGAGGAGGAGGAAATTACACTACCGAGGAACCCCACATACTGATTTTATGTCTTGTGTGAACCGCGCTACCACTACCACCGCCGTCACGCTCTCAGGTGCCCCCTGTGGTCGTTGAACGGATGGGGAGGACGTGTGGGGGGAGAGGAGGGGTTGAGGAGTCATCTGTGACGGTCATATCCGGCGTCGCCTGGCACTTGGATACGAGAGGTAATACGCAATCCCGCACTAGAGGCTATGCCTGGACGACCCTGGCACGCATAGGGAGACCACCCCGTGCGCACCCCCTCTGGTGTCGAGAAAATGCCACGCCTGCAATGCCTGGACGACCCTGGCACGCATAGGGAGACCACCCCCTGCGCACCCCCTCTGGTGTCGAGAAACTGCCACGCCTGCAATGCCTGGACGACCCTGGCACGCATAGGGAGACCACCCCCTGCGCACCTCCTCTGGTGTCGAGAAAATGCCACGCCTGCAATGCTTGGACGACCCTGGCACTCATATTGACACCACCCCCTGCGCACCCCCTCTGGTGTCGAGAAAATGCCACGCCTGCTATGCCTGGACGACCCTGGCACGCATAGGGAGACCACCCCCTGCGCACCCCCTCTGGTGTCGAGAAAATGCCACGCCTGCTATGCCTGGACGACCCTGGCACGCATAGGGAGACCACCCCCTGCGCACCCCCTCTGGTGTCGAGAAAATGCCACGCCTGCTATGCCTGGACGACCCTGGCACGCATAGGGAGACCACCCCCTGCGCACCCCTCTGGTGTCGAGAAAATGCCACGCCTGCTATGCCTGGACGACCCTGGCGCGCATAGGGAGACCACCCCCTGCGCACCCCCTCTGGTGTCGAGAAAATGCCACGCCTGCTATGCCTGGACGACCCTGGCGCGCATAGGGAGACCACCCCCTGCGCACCCCCTCTGGTGTCAAGCAAATGCCACGCCTGCTATGCCTGGACGACCCTGGCACGCGTAGGGCGACCACCCCCTGCGCACCTCCTCAGGTGTCGAGAAAATGCCACGCCTGCTTGCGTGGACGACCCTGGCGCGCATAGGAGACCACCCCTGCGCACCCCCTCTGGTGTCGAGAAAATGCCACGCCTGCTATGCCTGGACGACCCTGGCGCGCATAGGGAGACCACCCCCTGCGCAGCCCCTCTGGTGTCGAGAAAATGCCACGCCTGCTATGTCTGGACGACCCTGGCGCGCATAGGGAGGCCACCCCCTGCGCACCCCCTCTGGTGTCGAGAAAATGCCACGCCTGCTATGCCTGGACGACCCTGGCACGCGTAGGGCGACCACCCCCCGCGCACCTCCTCAGGTGTCGAGAAAATACCACGCCTGCTATGCGTGGACGACCCTGGCGCGCATAGGGAAACCACCCCCTGCGCAGCCCCTCTGGTGTCGAGAAAATGCCACGCCTGCCATGCCTGGACGACCCTGGCGCGCATAGGAAGACCACCCCCTGCGCACCCCCTCTGGTGTCGAGAAAATGCCACGCCTGCTATGCCTGGACGACCCTGGCGCGCATACGGGGACCACCCCCTGCGCAGCCCCTCTGGTGTCGAGGAACTGCCACGCCTGCTATGTCTGGACGACCCTGGCGCGCATAGGGAGACCGCCCCCTGCGCACCCCCTCTGGTGTCGAGGAAATGCAACGCCTGCTATGCCTGGACGACCCTGGCGCGGATAGGGAGACCACCCCCTGCGCAGCCCCTCTGGTGTCGAGAAAATGCCACGCCTGCTATGCCTGGACGACCCTGGCGCGCATAGGGAGACCACCCCCTGCGCACCCCTCTGGTGTCGAGAAAATGCCACGCCTGCTATGCTGGACGACCCTGGCGCGCATAGGGAGACCACCCCCTGCGCACCCCCTCTGGTGTCGAGAAATGCCACGCCTGCTATGCCTGGACGACCCTGGCGCGGATAGGGAGACCACCCCCTGCGCACCCCCTCTGGTGTCGAGAAAATGCCACGCCTGCTATGCCTGGACGACCCTGGCGCGCATAGGGAGACCACCCCCTGCGCACCCCTCTGGTGTCGAGAAAATGCCACGCCTGCTATGCTGGACGACCCTGGCGCGCATAGGGAGACCACCCCCTGCGCACCCCCTCTGGTGTCGAGAAAATGCCACGCCTGCTATGCCTGGACGACCCTGGCGCGCATAGGGAGACCACCCCCTGCGCACCCCCTCTGGTGTCGAGAAAATGCCACGCCTGCTATGCCTGGACGACCCTGGCGCGCATAGGGAGACCACCCCCTGCGCACCCCTCTGGTGTCGAGAAAATGCCACGCCTGCTATGTCTGGACGACCCTGGCGCGCATAGGGAGACCACCCCCTGCGCACCCCCTCTGGTGTCGAGGGAAATGCCACGCCTGCTATGCCTGGACGACCCTGGCGCGGATAGGGAGACCACCCCCTGCGCACCCCCTCCGGTGTCGAGAAAATGCCACGCCTGCTATGCCTGGACGACCCTGGCGCGCATAGGGAGACCACCCCCTGCGCAGCCCCTCTGGTGTCGAGAAAATGCCACGCCTGCTATGTCTGGGCGACCCTGGCGCGCATAGGGAGACCATCTTGCGCACCCCCTCTGGTGTCGAGGGAATGCCACGGCTGGCGCCATGGCCCGCATAGGTGATACGCTGTGCTGTGCTGTGCTGCGCTGCGCTATGCTGAGAAGAGCTGAGCTGAACTGTGTGTCGTGCTGTTCTGAGCTCCGTGCTGTGCTGAGCTGTGCTGTGCTGAGCTGTGCTGAGCTGAGCTGTGCTGTGCTCTGCTGTGTGAGAAGGGTGGGGTGGGATGAGGTGGGTGAGGTGGGCCGCGGGTGCGACACGGCAGGGAAGAAAACCAGAACCCCACTAAGCATGTGGGGAAAAAAGGAAGGAGAAAAAACAAGTTCTTTAGAACCCCACGATGTATGTTCGAGACTCTGCGGACTCGCATCGGAAAGCGGGAGAACGTAGGGCACGGGGCAGACGGGAGCGTCGGTGCCTGGTGAGGGCACCAAGGCGCCTCGCATAGTATACGCACATAAGTACATACACACACGCACATTCCATTACTCTACTGCATCGGATCACGCGACATTTCAAAAAAGAGCGAACCAAACCAGACCATAGCATCACGACTCATTCCATTACAGCGCAGTGCAGTACCTTCCATTACACTGCAGTGCATCACAAAGCAACGCATTACAATACATTGCAGTACATTCATCGCATACATCCCTACATACATATATACGTACGCACATATGTTCATACGTGTATCAAAGCATGTATGCACACCTACACATACGCATACACGTATCCATGAATGTATTGATCTTCATTTAGGCACATGCATCGGGTATTGGCACATATAGTTTAATGTTTCTATATGTGTATATCTATTTATGTGTATATGTATATATGTATATGTATATATATGTAGTGTGGCACCAGGGGCTCGTGCCCTTGGCCGGAACACCCTCCAAGATTCCCCCAGAAATTGTTGCTCCCGTCGGGGTCTCCCAGGCCTCTCCCACGCTGCTCAAAACAGCTCAGGAGGCCACCAAACCGATATTTTGAGTCCCATGTGGACCTCCTCTGGGCACGACCCGTGCGAGGCATGTTCCGAAATCGGCGGGGGGGCGCCATGCGAAGCTGTGCATTCGTGCCATTCGTGGAGCTCTTTTTGGGCCATGATTCGCGTGACAGGAGTGCCGACGACATTGGTTGGGGGCGCTAAACGATACTTGTCTCTATGCCTTTAGGTGGTGCTCCTTGTGGGCACGCTCCGCGTGATCGGGTGTGCTGCAATGGCCAGGGAAGGGGTGCTGTGCGATCACTGTCTCTGGGGCCAAAGGTGAAAATCCCTGTGGGCCACGATCCATGGGAGAGGTGTGCCAAAGTAGGTAGAAGGACGGGATGCGAACCTTGTCTCCGGGGCCGTCCGTGATTGCTTGCGGGCCACGATCCGTGTGAGAGGTGTGCCGAAGTGAGCGGGGCGACGCCATGAAGCTCCCATCTGGTGCCACACATGAAGTTACTTGCGGGGCACGATCAACGTGAGGGGCGTGCTACTATGCGAACCTTGTCTCTGGGGACGTAGGTGGATCTCCCTGTGGGGCGCCATTCCTTTGAGGGGTGTGCCAGCATGGGCGGGGTGACGCTAAGCGAAACATTTCTTTGGGGCCGCAGGTAGAGCTGCTCTAGGGGCACGATCCGTGTGACAATATATGGCCCCCGATGCCGAACACCTTTCAGGCGACAACTAGGAACTCGCTGGAACCCCGCGCGCCTGAATCGAGCGCGTGGTTCTAGTATACACATGTATATAAAAAACGATGTTCCATATACACGGAGAGAGAGAGAGAGAGAGAGTGAGAGAGAGAGAGAGAGTGAGAGAGAGAGAGAACGAGAGGCAACTCTATATATGTATATACATATATGGTCTAACCTGGTCGACAAGTGTGGGTTGCACGTGCCCTGCGTGGCTTAGGATGTCTGGATCACTAGGCTGAGCCAGCGGAGCCTCCAAGCTGTGTTACGAGCGGTTTTGGGCGGTGAGACAACTACGGAGGCAAGCTGATGATTGTCTCGCCTCGCTCACTCCGTCGGCCCTGGAGCCCTCCTTAGGGCCTCTTGGGGACCTCTTGGGAGTCTCTTGGGGCAAGCCTTATGTCGGGCGTGTCCCCATACAGGAAGATTTTCGACGAAAAATAAAAAGTACCCCAAAAGTACACCAAAACGGTCAAAACATATTCTAGAAATAATCCCCAGACAATTTTTTAACTATTTTTGGGCTACTTGTGGGGATTTCTTAATTTTTCGTCGAAAATCCCCCTGACGGGGGACAGGCCCGACTTGAGGCAAGCCGATGATTCCCCAGAGGCCTTCCATCGAAGCTGCCGGAGCGAAGGCGCAGACGCCGACGGCGTCGGCGCCCCTCCCGCCCTGGGGCCTCGGGGCGGCCCGCCCGCCCGCAAACTCCGAGGGGCGCAGCCGGCCGTGGCGACGAGCGGGCCTTCCCCCCAAAAAGTCGCCAGCCAACCCCAATCCTCGATGATTCCTCAGCCTTCCGTCGTCGTCGTCGTCGTCGTCGTCGTGCTCGTCGTCGTCGTACTCGTACTCGTACTCGTACTCGTACTCGTACTCGTACTCGTACTCGTACTCGTCGTCGTCGTGCTCGTCGTCGTCGTCGTCGTCGTCGTCGTCGTCGTCGTCGTGCTCGTCGTCGTCGTCGTCGTCGTCGCGGACGTGGTCGTCGTCATCGAGAGCACGAGGCGGGCTACCGGCCGCGGGCCCGGGCCCCCTTTGGGGCCTGGCGGCCGCGGCGTGCAGTCGCTCTTCGCCCGAAGAGGACGCGACGCGGGATGCCCAGGAAGCACAGGGACCACTGGGTCGGTATCGCTTCACCGATCCCCATGCCCATCTCCATCCCCCTCGAGACCCCCGCCAAATTACCACCCCAGTTGGGGATACACCTCCTCCTCCTCCTCCTCCTCCTCCTCCTCCTCCTCCTCCTCCTCCTCGTCCTCCCTCGAAACCCATCCAGGGGGGTTAATCGGCCCGCGGGGCCCAAGCCACGCCGCTAGGGGTGGGGATCGGTTAGAGGATACTCCATTGGGGCCTGGCGGCCGCAGTGCGCAGGACGTGCCGAGCGGGTCGGGGGCCCTCCTCTGTACAAGCTGGTCGTTGAAAGTGGGTATTGTTGGATTCCCAGATCCCAATCGACTTCTGGCGCCTTCCTACTTCAAGAATCGGCATGCTTCTGCTATGTTTGTTTGATCTCTGGGAGGCACCTTGACCCAATCTACTTCATCCGCCTCCCTACCTCATATGTTTACCTACTTCTCCCGACCGACGTGTACACCCCAGTCGGGCATGTGCCTCTACAGGAGGGATATGCAAGAATGGTTCAAACATAGTCTGGGGGCGATGTCTCTTGCTCCTCATTTGTCTATTTCTGGATATTGTTCGAGCAGTTCTGCCAACATCCACCTGTAGGAGGGCATGCCCGACCGAACTTCACATCCAACAGTCCCAACTTGCCAGGTGGGAAAAGAAGAAACGCGTCTTCGATCTCCAATGGGTCCGCGATCCTCAGTGACTAGTCGATGTGGGACTCAACCCTCGATCTTCGATGGCTTCTCCTCCTTCCGTCGTCGTCGTCGGCGCCGCCAGCGCCATCGTAGTCGTCGGCGTCCATGCCGACATCGTCGCCGTCGCCGACGGCGACGAGAAGCCTTCCCCCAAAATACGCTAGAAAACCTTGATTCTCGACGACTCCGCCTTCCGTCGTCGTCGTCGTCGTCGTCGTCGTCGTCGTCGTCGTCGTCGGCGTCGGCGTCGGCGTCGGCGTCGGCGTCGGCGTCGGCGTCGGCGTCGGCGTCGGCGTCGGCGTCGGCGTCGGCGTCGGCGTCGTCGTCGTCGTCGTCGTCGTCGTCGTCGTCGTCGTCGTCGTCGTCGTCGTCAGGTCAGCCTCAGCGTCAGCGTCAGCGTCAGCGTCGTCGTCGTCGTCGTTGTCGTCCTGGGCGCCGTCTTAGTCGTCGGCGTCACGCTGGCGCAGACGTCGACGCCGTCAGCGCCGCGGTCCGCGCCGCGAGCCGCCGCCGCCACCCCCGCGAGGCGCAGAGCGTGCGCATCACGCGCATGTGGCTCGACACGGTCGCGGACGGCGTGCCCCTGGACGTCTTCGAGGCGGCGAGGGGGGGGGGGAGGCGAGCGGGGGCGGGAGCGCGAGGGGAGGGGGGGAGGAGGCGGCGGGGGAGGGGCGAAGGGGGGAGGGGGGCGGCGAGGGAGGGAGAGGCGAGCGAGGGAGGGAGAGCAGAGGGGGGAGGAGGCGAGCGGGGGAGGGAGCGCGAGGGGGGGGGAGGAAAGCAGGGAACGAAGGGAGGGGACGGGAGGGAGGGAGCGGAGGGGAGGGAACGTCGGGGGCGGCCAAGATTAAATCGGGCCTGTCCCTCTACAGGAGGACTATTCAAAAGTAGCACAAAAATAGTCCTGGGACGATTTCTCGAGTATTTGGACCATCTTGGTGCACTTTTCTCGTATTTCTGAGTTTTCGCTCGAAGTCCGCCTGTAGGGGGACACGCCCGACCTAAGGCCAAGAGGGGGGTGATGACTAGGGGGGGGGGATATCATGGCGTGGGCCACGATATTTCCCCAGATTTCATGGCGCCTCTTCTTCTTCTTTCATTGCGTCCCTGCCCCCCCCCCTGGGCCGCGCACGTGCCGCCGGCCGTGATCTGTGCCCCCCCCCTCTTGGACGCCCCCCTCTTGGCCGCTCTCGAGAAAGGAGGGATGGAATGGTGGAGGGTGAGGTTTCCATCCTCCCTCCCTCCCTGGGTCCGCGCCCCCCGCTGCCTCCGGCCTGCGGCTCGCGCGCGTCGCCCTGCTGCCTGACCGCTTTGGGCGGTGCCGGCGCCTCCTGTCCCTTTTCCGTGGACGCCCTGGACGATTGGCGACTGCTGCGCACGCCGCGGAGTCAAAAAGGAGGAGGATGAGGAGGAGTGGGGGAGGACGTTTCATCAACACCGATTGATGCCTGGCAGAGTCTTAGCCGCAGTGAGGTTGGAGGCCTCAGGGCCCAGGGAAGAGGAGGGGGACAACGGGGGGGGGGTGACACTCCCCCCCCCCATCCCTCACATCCTCCTTGCCCTCCCTCCTCCCCCCGCTTCGGACACCCTCCCGGCCCCCTGGGGGTCCTGGCCCCCTGGGGGAACCAGTGATACCAGGCGAGGCTCCAAGCAAGCCTGGTCTCACACTCTGGGCGACTGCAAAGACACGAGTGGACACACCATGCCATGAAAAGCAGTGCAATGGAAAGCACAGCGCAGAGCAATGCTGTTGTGTGCGCCGTACTCTGCAATAACAGCATAGTGCCTGATATCTTGTATTATGAAGTCTGCGGAATCGTGCCACTGTGAATCTCTGCACGTGCACGAGGAGTCCCGGCCTGGTTGGTCAAGGACTTTCGTCCTGGACTGCTATCGCATCCAGCACCCGCCCGGGCACAGCACACCTGAGGAACACGGCCTGCGACGAAACGCCAGCTGGGGATGACCAGAAATCACGTCGCAGGATGTCTGGGGATAGGCAGGAGCAAGAGGAAGGACGGACTGCTGGGGAAGAAGAAGAAGAAGCTAACGAGCAGGAAGGAAGGGAAGCTCCCACTCCTCACCCAGCCTCCTCGCGCTTTTCTCCCACCTCCATGAGGAGGAGGAGGAGGAGGAGGAGGAGGAGGAGGAGGAGGAGGAGGAGGAGGTCCCCCTCTCCCCCCTCTGCCCCATGCCTCGCCCCCCCTCGCATTATATCATCTCCTCCCTCCGCCACCCGAGCTCTCTGCCCTCCTTTTCCTCCCATCTCCTCCTATGTCACCCCTCTCTCCCCTCGTTGTCTATCTCACTCCCCCCCCTCCTGTACTTCTTCTCCTTTTTCCCCCCAACTCCTCTCTCCCGCCCCCTCCTATCGACGCCGGCGACCCGCCAACGAAGAAGTCGACGACGGCTAAGATGACGCCGACGGCGACGGGTGAAGTGCGACGGCGACGGCGAGGGCGAGGGCGACGGCGACGGCGACGGCGTCGACTACGACGATGACGTCGGCAACGACGACGACGACGACGACGTCGACGACGACGACGACGACGACGACCACGTCCGCAACGACGACGACGACGGCGACGACGATGACGACACGACGGCGACGGCGTCGCCAGCGACGTCGTGAACTGCTAAGTCCCTGGAGGTCTCCAGAGATCCCCCGCAGCCCCCACGAAGGCCCAGGGGAGGCTCCGCGAGGCTCCAAGGAGCCCCAAGGCGTCCAGAGGCTTCGAGTCCAGATCCTCGCCGCCGTCGCCGTCGCCGTCGACGGCGCCGTCTTCGTCGTCGTCGGCGTCGGCGTCGGCGTCGTCGTGTGCGTCGTCGCCTCGCTGGCGGCCGCCCGCAGATCTGCGACGCGGGCTCCGCCGACGCGGGGCTCCTCCCCGAGCAGCGCGCCGCAGCCCTCGAGGAGGTGCTGGCGCAGGCGGCCTCTTGCCCCGCCTTCGAGGGGTCGTCGTCGGCGTCCCTGCCGCCGTGGTCGCCGTCGGCGTCGGCGGCGGCGGCGGCGTCGGCGCCGATGGAGATAGAAAGGATGGCGGCCCTGGGATGCTCCTGGTCATCTGGGAGTTTCCTCCAAGCTTCTCGCTGCCACGTCTGGGCTGCCCTTCGAAGTTCTGGCGAAGAGGTCCTGGGATCGTCGTCGGTGCCGCCGGTTGCTGACCCGTCCGAGGTCTTTCATCTCTGCTTTCCCCACTTGCCTTTGGGCCCCCTCGTTTCTTGGCCTCGGCCGTGGTCCCCAGAGATCCGACGGCTCGATTGTTTCAATACGGGATCTCTGGAAGTCTCCCTTCATTCCTCGGGACCGGTTCTTCACCCTGCGCAGTTTGTTGACGGGCTCCGGGCCTGGCGAGAACCCCCTGAGGAAAAAAAACCGGAGCACACAACAGCACAAAACAGCAGTAATAGTACGGAGAAGTAGCATATGCTATCCAGCGTGGAACCCAAACAGTGTGTTCTAGCAAATGTTGTTTGCTTGTTTATTCATCTACGTGGTGCAAATTCGTTGGTGCGTGCGTGGCCACCTTGGCTCAAGCCCTTTTTAGAGCCTGTCGGGTGTGCCTGCTGTTCGAGCGACAGGATGACAGCCTCGGCGGAGGAGTCCCGGACGCTCTGCGGTGCGGCTCTCAGTCGAGCAGCGCCCTCCACGGGCCCACGCAAAGGAGGATACCCATGCGACAGCTGGCAATCTGCACATCCCCACGACGACGATGATCACGACTGGCCCCGGTTGTGATCCATCCGCTCTTCGACGTGACTCGCGACTGTCGAGCCCACCACGGAGGCTGGAGGCTGGAGCCCGTCGGGTTTTCAAAGGGGGCGAAGGCCCCGCAGCCTTGGCCCGAGGCCTCCTGCGCGGAGGGCGCGCCGGGCGGCCACGCGAGGCGCAGCGCGGGGTTGGGCGCACCCCTGGCGGTGGACGCCGCGTGTCGGCATCGGCCCGAAGCCGCCAGGCGGCTGGCGGAGGGGCCTCTGCCCTGGTGTCCGAGGGCGCCACGCTGGACCTCGAAGGCACCGAGGTCGGGGACGACGGCGCCGTGGTCGACGGCGTCGCCCAGGGCTGACGCTGCGGGGCGGCAGCAGGTCGTGGAGCGGCAGGGCTGCGAGAAGGCGCGGTGGCGCTCGGACCGCGGCCCCCGGGCCCGGCCGCGCCCGTGGGAGCTTCGCGTCGCGAGGTTGGTGGAGACGCGGAAGAGACCGATGGCGGCCCGCAGGTTGCCGCCGACGAGCAGCAGGGCGTGGGCCACGAGGGCCTCATGCCGCGACAGGGCGAAGCCCAGGCGGGCGCCTTGTACAGCGCAGTTGCCGACGACGACGACGAAGATGCCGACAACGTCGAGGAGTAGGAGGGGTCGGGGCGCGCGGGGTTGCAGGCGGACAAGTGAGACCAGGCAGGAGTTTTCTGCAAGCGCGCGGACCTCGAGGTCTGCGTGGTCGAGGGCGACGGCGAGAGGGGCCTGACGATGCTGGAGGGCGGGGCCGAGGCAGACGCCATGGGCAGCGGAGTGGTCGAGATGGCGACGGTCGCGGCTTGGGACGCGCTCCCTGACCGCGGCGCGCTCGCGGGTGGCGGGGCCATGCAGGCGCGTCGCGTGAAGGGCGAGGGTCGACGCTGACGCCGTGGCGGCCGAAGTTGCTGCCCCCGAATTGGAAGTTCCCCGAGGCGGCGCCGTTCCCGACGCTGGAGGGGGAGCGGTCGGGCGGCCCGCCCGTGCAGGTGCTGCTGCCGAGCAGAGACGCAGGAAGGAGGGCGCGAAGCGGGTCGCCCCCCTGGCGCTGTCGCCCACGGCCGCGCAGTGGGATGAGGAGGGCGGCGGCTTCTTCTTGAACGCCGGAAAGAAGGACATCCCGCGCGCCGCGGCGCAGGGCAAGCAGGCTTTGGGCAAGGGCTCCGAGGCCGAGCGGGAGGGCGCTCGATGGGAAAAGAAATTCGTGGATGCCCAGCGGGCGTCTGCGCCGCGCGTGGCGGGCGGCGGTTGCGCTCGGCAGTTTATCGAGGCATTTCCTGGCCATGCGGGCGCCTCAGGCGCCGCGGTCGAATAGGTGGCAGCCGCGAGCGGCGCTCGCGCCGAGGCGCGTGAGCACGCCCTGGCCGCCGCCCGAGCCTGCGCGAGGATCTCTGTCCGAGTGCGCGGGTTAGCAGGAGTTTTCGCGAACCGACCATAGGCTGGCGGTGCGCCGCGTTTGTAAAATCCGCGTCGCTTCACGACTGTGCCGCGCACGATGCGTCCATTGCGACGCAGGCTGGGCCCTCTGCCGCGCCAGCGCAGTCGGGGCGAGGGCGTCGGACCTTGCCCTGCGATTATTTCATCGTCTTCCTGCCCGTCGAGTCCGCGCAAAAGTCATGGCATTCACAGCGATGCAGGCCTGGCCTTGCGCAAGACCCGTCCGCCGAGGGGCGCCCGACCCTCTGCGCGTGATAAGTCCAACACGAGCGGTGCCACCTATGCGGTGACAGTTACCCATGCTTGCAGTGAGTTGACAACTCCGCCACTCGCGCCATCACCCCGCCCGCCCGCCCGCGCCGTGGCGCGCAAAACCCTGGCGGCGGTGGCGACGACGGCGGCGACGATAGCGGTGACGACGACATGGCCACTGACGGCGTTGAGGCTGATCACAGAAGCAACGATGACTGTGTCTTTGCGTCAGCGATGAAGTTTTTTTCTGGAAGGCGTTTGGCACGCGCGCGTGGCCGTCGCGCGCGAGTGGCCGGCGTGGCGTGACTTGAGAGGGATCGTTGCTTCCGACTTGCGCGCCAGGGCGCCCGATTGATTTCAACATGCGGCGCGAGGGGCCCGATCGGCCGATTCCGATGCAACTGTGACACAGTTCATGGTTTGCTTCAGGATTCGAAAGAGCGCGCGCAGACTTTTCTGAAAGCGAATATGGCGAAAACGCGTTTTGTTTCAATTTTGCTTTCGATGGTCTTTTATCTTGTGACGCCGTCAGTGGTTGCAGCGGGATTTCGGCGCGCGCGACGAGGCGCGCGCGCGCGCACTTGGCGCCAATGGCTGCAATGGCAGTTGCGACAGCACGCGCGCAAGGCTGTCCGAACGGCTTCGGCACGCGCGCGCAAGGCACGTTGGGTAACATGCGACGATCAAATTCGAAAACGCTTGGTTTCCTGAAGAGTGCGCGCGAGAACGAGCTCATGCTGTTTTGTAAACTGCCGTTGCGGGGCACATGTTTTTGTGATAGATGTTCCCGGGGCGTTCGGCTTTAACGCCCTTAAGAAGCCTCCGGTTTTTGGAAGGTTCCGGCACGCGCGCGCGACGACGCGCGCGCGTGCTTTTCGTCCCGGGCTTTTGTGGAACATGGTGATTTGTAATAAATGAGTGCCCGCGCAGTTTTTTGCCAGAGGACGTGGGGAAGGGTCAATCAGGGATTACCGTGGATGGTATGAATTCTGTTTTTAGGGTGGACGTGCGCGCATAATCATACACGAGCAACGATACGAAAACACCATCTGTTAAGTCTTGGGGGGCAGGGAGGGGAAGGTCGATTCGCTTACGCATGCACGGCGGAGAATGTGCGAGATGATTTATATATGTGGCGCAAAGCAACGCGAAGCAAAGTAACGCGCGACGCAATGCAAAGCAGCGCAAATCCACACAACGCATTGCAAAGCAATGCGAGCGCAGTGTAAGGCAATCTGCGCGGTGAAACCCACGTGGTGCAACCTACGTGGTCCATTCGACGAAGTGCAACTCACGTGGTGAAATCTACGCATACGCGGCGCATAGCAGCGCCATTCCAATGCCAAACATGACACATCAAATTCATCATGGTTAATCACTTCAACGCAACGCGAAACAATCTAGGGGGTGCGAGCCACTTGGTGCAATTTACGCGGTGCAAGTTCTCGATGGTACAATCCAGGGTGTTCCACATGTGTGGTGCAACCTATGTGGCGCACAGCAACGAAGTGCGAACCATGGCACACCAAGAGGGGGCAACGCAAAGCAACGCGAAGCAATGCAAAGACATTGCCAGGCAATCGACGTGGCGCAACCCATGCTGTGCAACCTACGTGGTGCAACTGGTATGGTGCCATCCACATGGTGCCATCTATGTGGTGCAATCTTTGTGGCGCAAAACTGCGCAAAGCAACGCAAACCGATGCAATGGAATGCAAAGCAACGGGATGGACATCGCTGGCAATATCAGGCAATATACGTGGTGGAATCCACGTGGTTCAACCTACGCGGTACAACCTGCGTGGTGCAACACGCGTGGTGCACTCCATGCTGTGCAACCTATGTGGCGCAAAGCAACGCAAACCAATGCAACACAATGCAAACCAACGCAAGGCAATGTGAAGCAATGCGACGGCAATGCAAGGCGATTCAGTTCACGTTGTGCAACCTACGTGATGCAATCAGCGTGGTGCAATCCACATGGTGCAATATATGTTGTGCAGTATGTGTGGTGAAAGCCAACGCAAAGCAACGCACAGCGATTCAACGTAATGTAAATCATGGCAAACCAATGTAGAGGCACGCAAAAATAGGCATTACAAGAAAATCGACGTTGTGCAATTCACACTGTGCAAATTGCGTGGTGCAATCTATTTGGTGCAACCCTCGTGGTGCACTCAATGTGGTGCAATCTTTGTGGTGCCGAGCGCTGGGATTCAAAGAAGCGAAGAGTATAGCAATGCGAAAACAATGCAACGGCAATGTCAGAAAAATTGCGTGTGGCGCTTCACGTGGCGCAATCCACGTGGTGCAGCCGATGTGGGGCATTCCACGTGCCGCAACCGATGGGGTGCAAAGCAAAGCAAAGCAACGCGAAGCAATGCTAAGCAACGCGAAGCCCTGCGAAGCACCGCAAGTCAACGCAAGGCAAGGCACTGTAAAGCAATGCGCAACAATACACGGCAATCTACGTGGTGCAATCCACGTGGTGCAACCTGCGTGGTGCAATCGACATGGTGCAATCCACGCAGCGCAACCCATGCATCGCGAAGAAACGTAAAAACAGCGCAACGCAATGTCAAACCAGTGCAATGCAGCGCAAGGCTCTGCAAAGACAGTGCAAGGTAATGCGTAGCAATGCGCAGCAATGAAAAGCAATGCAAAGCAATACGAAGCAGCGCGATACACCGCAAGCAATGCAAAGCGCAGTGCCAAGCAATGCAGGCCCAGACGCCGTGCGGCGACGGGCGGCGACGAGGCGGCGACGGGGCGGCGACGGCGACCGCGGAACCGCCGGAACCGCCAGACAGGCCCAGACGGCAGGCGGCGACGAGGCGGCGATGGGGCGGCGACGGGGCGGCGCGGCGACTGCGACCACGGAGCCGCTGGACCGCCAAACAGCCCTTGGTCTTTCTGACAAACAAGTAAGAGCTCCTAAGTGCAGACGATGCTTGGGGAACCTGTCGGAAAGGCTTAGCGATCGCGAGGGGGTCTGCCTCTCTTGGCCACGTTCCCGCTTCCCGCGCCCGTTCTGGCTCCGTGTGCCCGGGGACGGCTGGCGCGGGCGCGTGCCCGGCACACGGCCGTGCGCGCGTGACGCCTCGACGGCGCCAGGAACACCGAATGGCGGTTGCCGCCTGAGACCGCCTGCGCAACCGTTCGTTCGAGGCCGCGGCCTGCAGGACATGCCCACATGGGCATGGGCGGGCTCCCGCATGAGCGGGCACGGTTCCGGCGTTCGCTTCCCTTCGCTCCGATTCGCTTCCGCACCCGCTGTGCCGGCATAACCCACACATGCTTCTGCTGTGCGCGCGTCGGCCCCCCAGGCGCGACGCGCGCGCTCAGGCATCTCAGAGCATCTGCTTGGTGGCGGGTGCTCTCTGGCCACACCGCCCAGAGAAGAACGAGATGCTGCAGAGATGTCTGTGCCACTCTGTTCGACTCGGGCGTGCGCCTCCCAAGGGAGGGGGTGAGGGGCGCACATTGCCAGGGACGCCCTTCCGCTCCAAAACTCTGGCTCAACCCTGCGCGCGGCAGGCGGGCGCGCAGCAGCCGCGCGGAGCCCCTCGCCGGCGCGGCCCCGCCGCGTGGGCAGAGGGGCTCGTGCGCCGCGAGCCGCGCCGGGCCCGCCCCGCGCAGCGGCGGGCACAGGGGGGGGGGCAAGAATCGAGGGAGGAAAGACCACCCCGACCTTTCTCATCGGCGCTTACGAAACGGCCCTGGGCCTTGACTGGACAGCCCAGCCCTGTTCGATCCCTTGTGCGGGTGCGTTTGTACCGCGGCTTCCCTTGTCGGGGTGCTTGTTGTGGGGGTGGCTTTTCTGTCTCTAGAGAAGATGCCGAGCTGCCACCGCTCTCGGCAACTACAGTCGAAGGAGGAACAAGACGCGTAAACATAACCTTTCGGCGCTCCGCGTGGATTCCTTGGGTCGGCATTCGGACCCCCCTGGCGGAGCCTCCGGCGTCGCCCCATGGCGCGCCCCGCGTGCCAGGGAGGGTGGCTCAGCGCCGATCGGAGAAATCTGCGCGGACCGTTGAAAGTTTACACGCCGATCGTTGAAAGTAGGTATTTCTGGATTCCCAAATCCCAATACTTCATGCTCCTTCCTACTTCAAGAATCGACATGTTTTGCTGTGTTTTGTTCTTCTCTGGGAGGACCTGGACCCTATCCTACTTCGTGTTTCTATCTACTTCTTCCGACCGACGTGTATGTTTATTCCATGTTTCTTTCCCTTTACAAACCATGTGCTTCGGCGGGGGTATGGTTTGCGGACTGCGTCGTTAGGGCCTGGGGGGGTACCACGCTGTCCTCGTCGGGCCTCCTCGCAGCACGAAGGAGAACTCTGTTGAGATCCTCGCCCGCCCCTCCAGCTCGGGTTGCAAAACTCCGTCCGCGTCGCCGACGCTCTCCGGGCCCCGTCCGGGGGCCCGGATCTCTGACGATCTGATTTCTTCGGCCCGGGAGTTGTTCTTAGATTTCGGCCTGCAGGGGGCTGTTTTTGTGTTTCGGGATCGTGAGCAACAGATCGGCGCCGAATGCTCACCCCGGGGGAAGCGGTCGGGACCTCTGAGGCCGCGGAGTTTGAGAAAATCGTGTTGGCGGACGTCGGGGGGCGCGTTGTGACCAGTCTGTCGGGGCGAACCCCGCCGCGGACCCTCTGCAGAGGTTCCGATCCCTTCCCCGGTATCCTACCCTTTTTCAAGTCGGGCACGTCCCTCTACATGAGGTCATGCAAAAATAGTTGACATATGGTCTGCGGACATTTTTTGAAAAAATAGTTGTGGACATTTTCGAATATGTTTTCACTATTGTTTATTTTGTCTTCCACAGTCCGCCTGTATGGGGGACATGCCAGTCCTGCGTCTACCCCTGCGGATCCAATCGGCGCTGGGGTATCGGACATCCCCGCTGGGGTTCACTTGGCTGCACACGTCCTTCGAATTCTGATCCCCAGCCGCGCGGGGCTGCCTATCTCAAGTGGCTCGTTATGACCAGGATGTCAGGGCGACTCCAGCCGCGGGGGCGATCCCTGACCCCCGACCTCTCATGAGATCCAGGCGTTGCATCTGTTGCTGGCCGGGAATTCGTTCGTAAGGGTCAGCCTCTGGACCGCGGGACTCTCCGAGATCGACCCGGCCGCCAAAGCTGCCGCAGACCCACAGGGCACATATAGGGCTCCCCCGTGCTGCGTGCTCTTCGCCAGCGTCGGGCCTCGGGGCAGGACGCCGGGGCGACCCCGGCCGTGGCGTCGGACCCTCGAGGCCTCCGACGCCGCGGCGTCCTTCCCAGCGTGGGCCCCCGGGAGGTCGCGGCGCGAGATCCCCGAGGTCCGAGGTCGTGACTCGTTCAGCGCGGGGTCCCCGATAGATGGCCTCGGCCCACGCCCCCCCCTTAGGACCGGCTGCTGCCTCCTCGGTCGCTACCTTTTGCTGGTCCCGAGGCCCGGCAAGGGGCCCCCAGGGGGCAGAAAGCTGCGAGAAACGTGCGTCGTGATTCTGTTCACAACCTCGGATCTCTGGATCTCTGGGATTTTGCTCACGGCCTGTTCCCAGGCTGGCTCGTCACACCCCGAGCCGTTCCTCGACGGCCCCAGGGAGGGGGGGGGGGGCCGGCGGCGGCACCCCCAGGCAGAGCCCCACGAGAAGGGCAGCAGCAGCGTGTGCCGTTGCGCACCTGTTTGTCACGGGCCCGGCGGGGGCGCCCCCTGGGAGGGCCTCGAGGAGGGGGCAGCACACGCGCGTGCCCAGCGCATTGGAAACAGATCCCGACGGAGGTTGTTCGCAGGTTTCGGCCTCTCTAGGGGCCCCTGCCGGGCCTCGGGGCCGTCAACACAGGATCCGGATGCGAATCCGGTCCTGGGGAACGGGTCGAGACTTCCGGAGACCCGGTATTGAAAAAAACACGACGTCGGATCTCTGGGCTCGATTTCCTTCTGCCACGACGCAGGGGGTCGGCGACGGTCGGCGGCGCGCCAGGGGCGGGGGGGGGGGGGGGAAATTGTGAGCGCGGGGGCGGGCCTTCTCGGAAGGCTCGCCTCCGGAGAGAAGTCTTATCTGAGCCTTCCCCGGCGATGCGCCGCAGACTTCTCGAGAAGCCCCGGCGCCTTCTGAGAAGGCCTCCTCCCCAAGACCCCCGACGTCATGATTTTGGTCATGACGCGACCCTCATGCAGAGGTCGGGACCCCTTCCCCGGGACCTGCTTTTCCTCCCATAGTCGTTTTTTGGCGGCCCCTGTGCCCGGCAAGGGCCAAGGGCCTCCGGAGGCCGAACAGAGCAGAAAACCTCCCGTCGCGATTTTTGTCACATCGCGAGGGCCCCCGGAAGTCTCGACCCATGCACCAGGACCTGCTTTTCATCCGGAGTCGTTCTCTGACGCCCCCGAGGCCCGGTGAGGGCCCCGGGGGGCCGAACATTGCGCCCAGCCTCCGCCGTGATTTGGGGGGCACATGCGAGCCCTACCCCTGCCCCCCGCGATTTCTGAGGGGGAGGGTGGGGGGCAGGGGTAGGGCTCGCATGTGGCCCTCCGCCGTGACCTCTTCCCATGCGCTGGACCTCTGGGAACTTCCCCGCCTCCCTCGCCGCCGAGGGGCGGTGTGTACAGCTCGGCGTCGGCTCCCCTGCGGCGCGCCATGGGCCGCGCGGCCCCGGCCGCGTGGCTCCTCCTCGCCGGCCTCGGCCTGGGCGCGCGGGCGGCGGCGGGCGCCCCGCCCGGCGGGGCGGCGGCGGGGCCGAGCTGCCCGGAGGAGCACGACGAGGAGGCCCTGCTGCAGGCCTCGGCGGCGCGGGCAGGGAGGCCCCTCGCCCTCCACCTTCCGCACCTTCCGCGCGGCAGGTTCCACGCCGCGGCGGCCGCCGCCGAGGCCGCCATTGCGGCTTCCGCCGAGGCCGCAGCAGCGGTTTCGGCGGCGGCGGCGTCCGGCGCGGCGCGGCACCTGCCGCGCGGAAGGTGCGGAAGGTGGAGGGCGAGGGGCAAGCTTAGCGGGTTGGCCCAGGAGGGGCATGCAGCGACGAGGGCGTGGTGACCAGCAGGTGCCCAGAGAGCCAACGCATGGAAAAAAACACGACAGCGGTTTTTCGCAGGTCTCGGCCTATAGGGGCCCGTCCCGGGCCTCGGGACCGTCAGAAAAGGATTCAGGATGCAAAGCCGGTCCTGGGGAAGGGGTCGAGACTTCCGGAGACCCCGCATTGAAAAAAACACGACATCGGATCTCTGGGTTTGGTGCAATAGATTTGTGGGGTTGCGATGCACTTGGGACGTGCAACACATTCCAGGGCGCACGCGTATTGCTGGACTTCCGCGTGCGATGCATCACTTGCAATACAGTGCAAAACACGTCTCCAGCGCAATACATCTGCAATACAATTGCCCCAATTCTATTGCACCACCCCCTCCGTAGCTATTTTGACTAAGTTTGGCTCAAGTCATTCGCCTGACAGAGGATCTCCAGACGACCCGTCACGGCCAGACCATGGCTGTCAGGGCAGTCGCCCTTGTGCTGGCTGTCGGCGCAGGTGTCGCCACAGCGGCGGAGCATGGCACCGTCGACGTAGCCAGCCTCGCATCGGAGCTGGAGGACGTATTGAACAAGACGGAGTACAAGGAGATGAAGGCGGAGAAGAAGGAGGACAAGAAGCAGCTGCAGCTCGCGTTCTGCGTCATCGACGCCATCCAGGCGGCGGTTTCCCTCGGGCAGGCCGGCGTGGGCATCGCCGAGGCGACTCACTCCTGCAAGCCGAAGAAGGACCCCGCGACGGGCAAGTACAAGGTGCCCAAGGGCAAGGAGGCCGCCTGCGCGGAGACCATCACCTTCATCATCACCACGTTCGGCCACGTCGCCGTGTTCCTGTCGGGCGCGGCCTCCCAGTGCGCCGAGTCGATCAACTTCCAGTCGTACTGCGCCCAGGACGTCACGGACATGATCACCGGCCTCTCGCTCATGGCGGAGGCGGGCTCCGGGATGGCCGCCAATTGCAAGGGAGGGGCGGACTACAACAAGTACGACAAGGAGAACGCCGTCGACGCCGACGGGAGGCGCCTCGGCAGCAACCTCTCGCTGGCCCTGGTGCCCTCGGCGGATGACGCGAGGCACCTCGCCGAAGTCAAGGAGAAGTCGCAGGAGGAGAAGAACATCGCCATCGGGATGTGCGTGTTCGACGTGCTGCAGGCCGCGATGTTCTTGGCGCGCGCGGGTGCCCTCATCGAGGAGGTGATCTATACGTGCAAGGAGACAGAGCGGGTCGAGTACACATATGAGAAGGAGCAGGCTATGAAGTCGGAAGGTAAGGAGGTCGGAACTCTTGGGTCGGTGAACAAGGTCGCGACGAGCTTGAAGGAGAAGTCCCTGAAGGCCGCCCAGGAGTACCTGGACGAGGCGGAGAATAATGTGCCGGAGGGCGAGGAGGACGCACGCAGGCTCGGCGCGCTTGGGAAGTCGCCGATCTTCAACATCACCGTCGCAGACAAGAAGCATGCGGAGCGGATCTGTGCCGTCAACGTGCTCCACCTGATCTCGTCGTTCGCCTACGTGGCCTCCTTCCTGTCCTTCTCGGCCGCGAAGTGCGGCGAGACGAAGAGCTACAGCGCCGCCTGCGCCGGTGGCATCATCAACGTGATCACGAGTCTGACGATCGTGTCGGCGAGCGCCATGGACTTCGAGAACTCCTGCGCTCAGGTCGGCAAGAACAACAGCAACAAGAGCCACTTCGAGGAGAATCCCTCCGCGCGGCGCCTCCGAGAGGCCACCGAGGTGCTGGCCAACCTGGTCGTGTGAGGGGGGATGTAGGAGGTGGTGTAGAGGTGGCCAATGATTTTGCCCCTCCCTGCCAGTCGTGCGGTCGCTTCTTCGACGCGTCCACGCGGCTTTCAGCGCCTCGATCCAAGTGCCCGCACTGCCGGTGCTGGTAACGCACACGGTTCAGTGGTTCGGTGTCACGGGGACGGTTTCGTTCTGTTATTGATTCAAATCTTGCTCGTTGTTTCAAGCCAGTTTGTTTCGAGAACAGCCATTGCAGTGGCGGGCTCAATGGGGAGGGGTGAGAAATCAATGAGTTGAAGACTCGTCAGGGGTAATATTTATCTGAGCCAATTTGTCGAAATGCTCCTCTGAGGCCCAGTGGAGCATAGGTGAAGCTGTCGAGGTGCTCTTCTGAGACCCAGTGGGGCAGCTCCCAAGCGCGCCAGTGGCCAACGAGTAGGTAGTGGCTGGTAGGTAGTCCTCGCGTGCGGGAGCAACCTGATTTTGAGGATGACGGGCGTGAGTACGATTGTCTCTTCCGCGGAGTGCTTCTTTGCGTATTTAGCGCTTGAATGTTATTTACCAATGCTTGTGCCACTTACTGCGTGTTTGTGAAAAATGTTTCACCATCACGATGCGCTGCGCAATTTAACTGCTTCGTCCCACCCCCTTTCAGCTGGACCCCGTTGTGGGTCACCCAAACCAGACCCCCTCGCGTCGTGACGAAAATCACGACGGGAGGTTTTTCGCTATCGATGGCCTCGGGATGCCCTTGCCGGGTCTCGCGGGACCGACAACAAAACGATCCGGGAGGAAAAGCCGGTCCCGGGAAAGGGATCCCGACCTTTGGGTGGCGACGTTGTGAGAAGATCACGGCGTCGGGGGTCTGGGGAGTTAGGGGAACGGAGGATGTCATGAACATAAAATCTCGGAGGACCGCGCGGGTTTCTCGGATCGGCGCTGGATCCCCCTCCCTGACGCGCGGAGCGCGCCAGGGGCGGCGCCGGAGGCGCCGCCAGAGGGGGTCCAGCGCGGGTCCGGGAAACCCGCGCGGACCTCCCAGTTTTTTTGTATGTTTATGTAATTCTCCATTCCCCTAAAGAGATACCCTGCGATGGAGTGGCCCCTCTGTTCTTGGCATATCGCTCGGAGGTGTGCCTTCTTTCTTTCGACAGGGAGGCTCGAGGAGCCTCCTGGATTAGCTTGCGACGGAATACTCGCACTCGTCGTCCAAGTACATGGGGTCGGAGGACCGTGCCGCATCCCCGATGCATCGGCGATGCATCGCCTATGCGACTCGGGTGTGGGCCCAGCTCTGTCGCTTGATTGGTGTGGCGCGCCTCCCCGCGTTTTCTTGGATTTCGGCCTCCAGCGCCCGTGGTCGGGCCCCGCGGGACAACAACGGAGCAGGGACGACTGCCCTGGGAAGGGATCGGGAGACCCCAGGGCTGCCGACGGGGCAAACACACGTATTGTCGGAGGGCTGGAAACCCACAGCGGCCTCACCTCTTATGCCCTCCTCCCCCCCCCTCCTCCTCCTCCTCCTTCTCCTCCTCCTCCCCATCCTCCTCCTCCTCCCCTTCCCCTGCTCCTCCTCCTCTTCCTCCTCCTCCTCCTCCTCCTCCTCCTCCTCCTCCTCCTCCACCTCCTCCTCTCTCTCCTCCTCCTCCTCCTCCTCCTCCTCCTCCTCCTCCTCCTCCTCCTCCTCCTCCTCCTCCTTCTTCCCTCTCCCTCCTCTTCTTCCTTCTCCTTCTCCTTCTCCTCCTGCTCCTCCTCCTCCTCCCCTCTTCATCCTCCTCCTCCTCCTCCCCCCCTCCTTCTTCTCCTCCTCCTCCTCCTCCTCCTCCTCCTTCTTCCCCTATCCTCCTTCCCTCTGCTGCTGTTCCTCCCCTCCTCCTCCTTCTCCTCCTCCTCTTCCCCTCCTCCTCCTCCTCCTCCTCCTCCTCCTCCTCCTCCTCCTCCTCCTCCTCCTCCTCCTCTCTCCTCCTCCCTCCCTCCCTCCTCCTCCTCCCTCCTCCTCCTCCCCTCCTCCTCCTCCTCCTCCTCATCTTCATCTTTCCTCCTCCTCCTCTCTCCCTCCTCTTCCTCTCCTCCTCCTCCCTTCCCTCACACCTCCTCTCCTCCTCCTCCTCCTCCTCCTTCCACTCCCCCCTCCTCCTCCTCCTCCTCCTCCTCCTCCTCGTCGTCCTCCTCCTCCTCCTGCTCCTCCTCCTCCTCCCCCTCCTCCTCCCCTCCTCCTCCTCCTCCTCCTCTCCTCCTCCTCTCTCCTCCTCCTCCTCCTCCTCCCCTCCTCCTCCTCCTCCTCCTCCTCCTCCCTCCTCCTCTCCTCCTCCTCTCCTTCCCCCCCTCCTCCTCTTCCCCGCCCCCCCCTCCTCCCGTCCTTCTCCGTCCTCCCTCCTTCTCTTCCTTCTCCTCCTCCTCCTTCTTCTCCTCCTCCTCCTCCTCCTCTTCTCCTCCTCCTCCTCCCCTCTTCCTCCTCCTTCTCCTGTTCCTACTCATTATTCCCCCTTCTCCTTATCCTCCTTTCTCCTCATCCTCCTCCCCCTCCTCCTCCTCTTCCTCCATCTCCTGCTCCTTCTGCCTCTCTCCCTCCTCCTCCCCCTCCTCCTCCTTTTCCTCTTCCTCCTGCTCCTCCTTAACAATTTCACCATATGAATACCATTATCCTCTCTCCCTGATGACGTCTGGAAGATATCCGGCCCCCTCCGCGTACTTTTTGTTCGCCGGGGTTTCTTTTCCAAAATGTTGTTCCCGCTGAAGCGCTGGCCTCTTTTTCGGGCTTCCGCTCGTTCCGAATCGTGCTCCCGCTGCAGCGCTGGCCTCATTTCCGGGCTTCCGCTCGTTCCGAATCGTGCTCCCGCTGCAGCGTTGGCCTCATTTCCGGGCTTCCGCTCGTTCCGAATCGTGCTCCCGCTGCAGCGCTGGCCTTTCTTCCAAATAGGCTCCAAAACCTAGAAAAGGTCCCCCCCGACAAAAGCCATCGGAAGTGAGAAGTGATTACACATTCGGTGTCGATTCGTTGACTTTTTAGGGGCGCAGAGGCCCCCTCCAGGGCGTCGTCGTTTGCAGGAAGTCTCAAACGGGAGCCTTGTTTGTGCTTTGAGAAGGCGATGGTGGAAGCAGAGCCAGCGGGTGCTCTCCATCAGCCCCGCCTTGTGTGGAGCTTTTCGGGGAGCCCAAGAAGCTAGACATGGAGCCACGACTCCAGACGGGCTCAGACCTCTCGAAGACGATCCACTTACCCTCTAAAGAACCTGGCGCTACGCAATGACATGCTGTGCAGTGTTGCGTGTCCGCGCTGCTGTGCGATGTCATGCGTTGCGTTGCAACGTTTTGTAATGCAATGCTTCATTGCGCACTGCCACGCCATGCTATGGCATGCGGCGCCTGCCGTGCTGTTATACGCCATGCCC